TCCCTGTGCTCTATGGGGAGATTTGGGGGAGGGGGTGGAATTGGGATTAAGGAATGTATATTCGCTCATATGAATTCTCTGATGGTATCTGCCCTATTCTCCATTCCAGAATATTATAAAACATTATGAATTCAGCCTTCTTTGTAGCTTAGACAGTTGTGCGTAGAGGTAGTGTTTGCCTGGGACACTGTAGCAGACCTGAGTGCCTGGGACATTTGTAGTAGATCAAGAAACTGACCGAGCTTTGAGAACTAATGCTAGCACTTTATTATGTTGTATGTTTATGATTTTAAATTCATGTTGGGGTTTTATCAGTTTTTGTATTTAAGGAATTGTTTTATATTGTTGTAAACTGCCCTGAGCTGGCTTTGCTGGGTGGGCGGGGTAAAAATCTAATGAAGTAAGTAAGTAAGTCATAGTAGACGATGTTTAAGTTGGAGCGGAAGTATGAAAGATGATGAACATGTTCAATGAATTTATATGAATATTTAGCTATATAAGCTTGTAATCTTGTTAAAGCAGTTTGTACCCACTCTTGGGTTTTTAGAGGTTTCTTTACTTTATCCTATAGTATGTAGTTCCTTTCTTATTTTTTCATGTAGTGTTTAGTTTTAGGAAATGCAATAAAAAATCCCCTTCAGGGGGCCAAAAAAAGAGACAGAGAGAGAATTCTGAAATAAAACTGGGCACATCTAGAATGAAGATTGTGTAAATTGTTTTTATTAGTAACAACCAAAATGCAGCAAAGCACGTTCAAGCTTGAAACTTTTTAGGAAAACAGACACAGTTTTATTATATTTTTATTGGTCCTAATAAAAAGTATTACATTTCCAGTTCTGGAATTTGGGGGGGACTGATAATACTTTCAAATTTGGGCACACCTTTTGGTGCGGTTGCATAAGTTTAGACTCTGGACCAGGGGTTGCCAACTCCATCTTGGGAAATTCCTGGAGATTTGTGAGTGCTGCCTGGGGGAGGTGGCATTTGGGGATGGAAGAGGTTAGTAGGGGTGTAATATCACTGTAGGACTACTAGACTGTGGTATAGTTCCAAAGCTGTTGTCCAGGGCTGCCATTTCCTACAAGGGAGATCATTTGTAATTCTGCGACAACTCCAGGCCAAGCCTCCCACTGATGTTGATAATCTTAGTGGATTTACTGGTGTTATAGAGACCTTCTTTAGATGTTTCATATGCAAAGCTACAGCCTGCTTTGGGGGCTCCCTGCTGAGCCCATTTGAGCTGGGAGGGAGTTGGGACCCAGGACTTTGGCAACACTGGGCACACCTATACCTCATTAAAGAGGAGAAAATACTTCAACTTAGACTTTATCTCCAAGACAATTCTATGTAAGTAAGTAACACCCCACTAAATTTAATGGGGCTTTTTCCCCCAGTCAAATTTGCATAGGATTCCAATTTAACTGGTAACGGGAGGGAAGAGGGATAAATTAATTAGGCTGTGGTCACACGCACCAGTTGAAGCAGAAGGGAAGCAAGGCTATTTCCTCCGGAGGAATTTGACGTGCAGTTGCGAGATCACACATCCCTTTGTAGCTGCAGGCTCAGTTTGTCAATGTGTGATAAGACACAACTGTGGGTAAGTCAGGGTTTTTTTAGCCGTTTATTTCCCATGTGCATAAACGAGGAATCACACCTCTCCACGAGGGGGCCCCTATGGAGTATGCAAGGATGCGCATACTGTGAGAGGGGGGAACAGCACCAAGCCATGATGGAATGATCAGACCATCCCGAGGGCATGAGAGTGTGCTTGTGCGATCAGACAGGGGAAAGTCTGTCCATGGCCCATTGGAACCCGTTAGAGCCAGACTTTTCCCGGTGTCATTCAACTCCGTTTCTGTGGCGGAGCAGCATGGGTTGCCAATGACTGCGGGATGCTTCCCAGATGTTGCTGTCAGATCTGTCAGGCATTCACACCTATGTCGGATATAAAGGCATGTGTGAGCGCAACCTTAATGTGTTTTTAAAGCATTGCAAGCTGCTTTGAAGACCAGTTGAAAAGTAGAATATAGATATAATTAAATAATCAATTTGTTTATAATATTTTAAGAGTTACAGCTTTTGTGATCACTGGTGTAAATGTTCAAGTCTACACAACAAATACATTTACTTTTCATGTAAATAGTCTAACATTGGAATCCTAAGCAGAGTTACATTATAAGTTCACTGAAGTTACAAGCATTAACTT